AAAGAAGACTTAAAACTGAGAATACATTTTCAGTAAAAATTAATCACAGTAACAAAATATTAGAACCACACTTTTCCCATATATGACTGGAGAGTTTCTAAGTTTCAGTATTTATTCTTACATCCACATTTTGGTAGAAAATTTTGTTATCCCAGCATACCATCCTCCATATACTTTTAGTAAAAGATTTCATTAAAAAAACCAAACAAGTAAAACATCTGTAATTCTCATACAACTCAGCAACGAATACTGCTAGTGACAGGAAAACTAGAGGTTTATAGTTCTAATTTATCCCATGTGACTCATGCAGGAAGAAGAAAAAGTTCTCATTTTGAAAAATTACTTAGGGTGACCTAAGAATACCTCAAAGAAAAGACTGCACAAAGTCCAGAAGAAATGTTTCATTCCTCCCACCCAACACTAGATATGCCTGACTTGGTCCTAAAAGGGAACCACAGAAAATGAAGAGAGTACTTTTATCCATTATGCTTGCAGTGTTTTTAGAGTAGTTTGTAAGACTTACGTTAAGCACCAGAAACATTGCATTTAATGGAAATGTTAATGTTCATTTACTTTCACTAATGTTCCTCTTGCCCCATTTCCTCCTTAACTTATCTCAGAAATCTGATCTGTTTAATTTTCCACCCAGTTGAGACCCTGGGAGGAGAGCATGAGAATTAACTATAAAAATCTAGCTATATCCTCCTTTGTAATGCCAGTTCCATTTCATGTAATTGGGATTAAGAATTTTTATCAAGTTTAAAAACCCCTAGTATAACAGGCTGCTATCTGGGTATTATTTGTCGCTGCTAGAGAGTGAATATTGATTACTACACGGTAAACACTTCTTGGTTTTTTTGGTTTTTTGTTTGGGTATCCCTACTTCTCTTAAAGTACATAACTTCCAACAAGAGATGAAACATGTACATGTATTGGAAAGGACTTTCACATTAACTCTGTTTGCTCCATGTTCCTTAAACCTCCAAGTCAGAGATCTAACTAAAAATATAAAGGGCTTAACTGGTGACTCCAAATACTAATACATGACACTGTATTCTTCCTAAACTGTCTGTTGCTGCTTTTTTCTTAATGCAGTCATGGGATTTCTACAGTTAACAAGAGCAAGTCAGAAAGACAGAGCCTTGTTTTGAAAAAATATTCCACACCTTCATTTTAATCCATTAATTTTTGATAATCCACATTAAAATCAGGAGCCTTGTAGGCCCAGCTGCGAGCAAAGACACAGCATAGGATTTCCTCACTCTAGCGAGCACAACCTACTTTTGTATTATAAATGTGTAAAGCAGCTAAGTAACTAGATAAAGATCTCAGACAATCTAGTTGTACTAGCTCCTTGCAAGGATTGGCAGAGTGGGAAGTGCTGAAGCATGACTTACATGCTTGAATAGCACGTCTCGCTACTTAGCAAAAGCCCAAGCATACAAACAGCAAAAATTCTGTTCTCCATTCTAAATCCAGCAAAACAAAGGCAGCAGATCAAAAATGGCGACTAATATACACAATAGTGGCTAATATGCCAAGTTATATAAGAACATAAACGTGACCATATTGGATCCAAAGTCTATCTGTTTCAGAAGCTTGCTGAGTAAGAATATACAGCTATAGAAAGAATATATTCTGATTTCACATATAATACGTGCTGTGGTATGTAATGCCACTTCTTTTGAAGTTTCTCCCAGCTTCCAACAATCTGCACTGATGACTTCCTAATCATCACTGAAAAATTTGTGTTAAAAAGACAATGGACTTTTCTTCTACAAGTTTCTTTACACCTTCTGGTTCTCACAAGATTATATACCAAATAAGTTGTGTTATGTGAAAAAGTAATCTGCGCTGTTTGTTTTAATTGTCTTGCGTGATGATTTATGTCAATGCTCTTGGTTTTTTGTATGGTACAGTAACTAATTCTTCTCTATTCCTCTTCTCCTTGTCATTTATGATGTTCTGTATGGCGAACGTAACCAAACTCAGTCATCATTTTCCAGGCCACGTATACTCCTTTTTTTAACCTCTCCTTGTTCAAGAAGCTATCTCCTTTCTCTGACCATCATTGCTGTCTTTATTGTACCCTTTCTTGTTCTACCATATTTTTTGAAATGTAAGAACCATAACTACAGACAGTATTCAAGAAAGGGAACCACATCTGTATACAATGACACAATAATTATTTTTGTTTTGTTCTCTCTTTCCTCATCAGTTCCTAAAATTCTCTTCAACTTTTCTGATAATTTTGCAAATATAGTTTAAGGATTTTTCTCCCCCCATGTACTACTTTGCATTTATCAAAGCTAATTTTAATTTGCATATTATTACCCAGCCTCATATATTCTTCCACAGCTTTCATCATTGTGGAAGCTTTCATTTTTCCTACTATGGATAATTTTGTACCATTGGCAAACCTAGTCATGTCATTATTTGTCTCCTATATCTCATTAATTATGAATACGAGCCCTTTCTTTAAAGAAACAAAAGGTTCTTTCAAGTGTTCAAATCAGGTGCATTTTATCCTTTTCACTGCTACTTCACTGCAAATTTTCTGTTAGAAATTAGAAAGGTTTATTACGTAGCTTCCCTTCTTGAAATTAGTACTGTGGATATATTTTGAGGTATTTGCTAACACATGGATTTTGAATTTGATTATACTCAGATCACTGTGACAGGATTGGATTTGCATCATAAAATTTCAAACCAGGTTCTATGTAATCTCTGTATTGGTCTAGACTCACCTGTTCACTTGTGTGTTCTCTAAGAAAGATGCAAACTTAGCATTTAAAAATTAATTCTCTATATTATGCCATGTCATTGCATTTACTAGGTCAATATGGGCAGAATAGAAGCCTCCAAATATTATTTAATTATCTATCTAGATAAAAATCTCTAACCTCTTTAATATGCCAGTCACCGTTCCCATCCAGGCTGGCTGGTGAATAATTTAGCCTCAATATGATGAGTCTCCTATTGGAGCATGTAATTTAAACCAATTTTATGTTACTCACTGATAAAGAAAAGATATTTACTTTATTTTGAGAGAAGGTTTCTATAATGTTTAGAACCATTTCTCCACTGGCATCATCTATTTTGTAATACCCCATTGTAAATTAAATGGGAACAATATTCTACATGTTACCTTCCTCCTATCACATTTTAAAAATTATTTTAAGTTTATAGCTTCCTCTTCTAAACCCAGGTGTTCCACTTCATTCATCTTCTTGTAAAACATCTAATATTTGTATAAAAAGACTTACATATTTGGTCTTCATGTGTTTGCTTTTTGTTATGTCCTATCTAAATTTAATTCTGTTTGCCTCTTTTCCTATCTACAGTTTGACGACCTCCACCTGTCCTTCATTTGAGAATACAAAAAATCCCCCACACTATTTCACCTTTAAAGGAGGAGTTACCTTGAACTGTGTGCTCTTCTGTATGTCAGCTTTCTCCCACAAGTTTTTAATAAGATGACAAAGCATTTTTTACATGGAAGTACCAAGACTGTGAGATACTTGCAGTACTAATGTTTCCATTTATCTTTAGTTGGAATCAATCCTTTCCATAGGCTCATTTTTTTCAATTAACCCACCTTCCTAACTAGACTACATTCCTCTTCCCTTTTTCCTCAGTCATACCTCAAGTCTCAGCCTCTCTATGCTGTTTCGCATATGGGTTTAAAAATATTTCACAGTAAAATTATGCTTCCTAACAATTTCAGTTTTGTTTTTAGGCTCTATCTTCAGTGTACATCTTTTCAGGATATCTTTTCTCAAACTATCTCTGTATAATTTTCATCCATGTATGCTATGGTCATTCATCACACCTGCATGACTGTTATGGGCATTAAGAGGTCTACCACCATTGTATCAGTCACCCTGTGACTTTACTGGCATCACAAACCCAGTTAGCTATATGCCCACTAACTGTCCTCACTACTACAGTTCATATTGCTTCTTTCTGTTAGTGGGGATCCCAACTCCCAAGGGATAGCCTCAATGCAAAAGGAATATGTTAGGGAAGCCTCATCTGTGGAACCACTTCCAACTTGAAGGTCTCTGCTGCACAATCTCAACAGTACAAGGGCTGCAAGGGGAACAGAATAGCTCAACAGTATTTCTGAAAGTTTCATCAGTGCTGCTGCTCTGTCTCTTGAGCTCCTCTCTCTTCAGTCACCACAGACGCAGGAGAGAGCATTCTGTCTCTGAGGACCATGAACTGTCTGCACAATAAACATGCATAAGTTACCCACCTAAAGAAATAGTCCTACTGACAATGCCTACAAAGGAAAATGGGAAGACCCATTTTGGCTGAATTTCTGTGTTCCAACTGGCTTTTTTGATTTGGGATTTTTGGTTTTACTTTGGCAAGGGGAAGGGAAGATAAGATCTTGTTTTGGTCTATTATTGAATAAGTAAAAGTAAATATTGAAAATATAGTGATTTTTTTCTTTGGGTTTTATCATGTGTTTTTTGATTCAACCAAGGAGTTAGTCCCAGAGCCTCCATTCCTTTGTAGCGGAATTCCTCTTTACTTTTTTATCACCCTCAGTTCCAGGGCATACTCTGTGCTAGGACTCCACATACTCGATAAGCTTTCATTAGCAGTCCTAGATTTGTACCTGCGAGTGTCTGTACCTGTGAGGTTTCAGCCCAAACTTCATCTAATTAGCCTGCTGTCTTCTGTTTCTATAATGGGGATTATTAGTCAAAGGCAAGCTGCCACAGTGTCTATCAGTGAAGACTAGCAGTTTGCAGTATAGCCTCTTCTCCAGCCAAATTCATATAGTAAGGTTTGGAAGCAATTGAGCCTTCTAATTTAAACTTGCAAATTTGTTTTAGACTATAAATTAGACTTTCTGTTACTCGTACTATAGCAACAAAATGCCTAGCAATAGTCATGCCAACAGTCAGCAGTTAGACAAAGATATGATGGTATATATTTGGATATTGTAAGAAGGATTACATAATGGAGAAAGAACATTTCAAACATACCACATTCGCTAGCTGATTCACCCACCAACTGGAAGAACTGCTGAGCAATTTTCAGATGATCTCTCTGGGAGAGGGGAAAAAAAAAAAAAAATCCAACATGAGTTCCAGAGTTGATGCTACAATATGCAGTGAAAATACACGCTGAGGAACAGATGGGGAGTAACTAACAGACAAACCAGGGCTGCAGTAAAACCAGAAAAGGTAAACGTGCCACTGTATGTGCCTAGATACACAAGAACACTGTAGAAAACAAACAGGATTGTTGGAAGCAGGACAGAGAAGCCAAATTCAGCTTGATTTATTGTCAGGACTAGCAACAGAGATTTGCATCTCACTCATTCTGGACTAACTATGGAAGAAGATTAAGAGAGTCAGGGATCCTGCAATCTAAATGAGAAATGACTGCCTCTTTCACTCCATTCCAGTCCTTACAGATCTGTTCACATTCTACTGTTGGAGAAGCTGGAGAACAACTTCAAGGGCTTCACTCACCGAGCCCATTTCTTGTCCAAGTGCTGCATTTACCACTCCTTTGAGGATGTACTCCTAAAAAAAAAAAAAAAAAAAAAAAAAAGGATCAGAGAAGACAACGTGAAGATTTCGGGAGACAAGTAAGAGCCTACATGCACGTTATTTTCTTACTAAATTCAACTCTATCCCAACTCAGCTTAATAGGTAGCTGGTTACTATGATACTATGATAGTGCTTCAGCACAGCAGTACAAAGTTACCCCCCAAAAATCCATTCTACTGGCTAGCTAGTCACTTCTGCTAAATACATGGGATGCAAAGGGGTGGTGTGTTTTCTGATAAGTCTTATGCGCAAAGATGATGCACCAGAAGGAACACCATAACATACTATCATGCCCTCTTCACCATCATAGGACCAATAATCAAGTGCAATATTGTTATATTAATGCACAGATCCCACTTCAAGTATGCATATTGGTTAACCATAACCACTACCATCCTTGCTCCAAAGCAAGCATAGCGTTTCTCACCAGGGCAAAAATGTCAAGAGGTTTGCGCTCTGTGGTCATATTACTCTACTGAAATTAGGAACAGGAGTACCCTGTAATGTCTACTACGAGATACAACTACAGTTTAATTCTTCTCTGAGCAAGATTTTCTCAGCATGTAACAGACTCATTTGTCTTATTCACATCTTATAATTAAGAGTTATAGATATAAATCTGTTTTAGTAGGTATTCCTGATAAACCTGGACAGCCCTGTCACAGATGTAAACATGGAAAAAGAGAGAGAGGCATGTACATGGACCAACAATGGAATGCAGGAAACAATCTAAGAGTACTAGCCAGCATGCTAAGTAATCATTTTAGCACACCAACTCTCTTATAGATGCCATATTATTATCCTATACACAACATGACAAAGAAGAAATTTGAACTGTAGTCGGATATACAAGTAGTTTTGCAAATCTTATCAGGGAGTTCCTCCCAAGTGTGAGAAAATGGAAAAAAAGCACAAAGATCTTGTTTCAAAATGTGATCAAGATTGGTATCATGTTATTTATATTAGGCATATATATGGAGAAAACGGAGGCTAAAGGACCAATAGTTGCAGAAAACTGTTCAAGTAAGTCTTGCTATACTGAAAAATGCAAGGAGAAGTGAAAAGCAACAGCAGAAGACACTCCTCAGCACAGAATCACCAGATCTGTGTTCTCAAGGTTTTCCTTTTCCCTCCCTCCATCTAATCCTCACACAGACTCATGAAAGGTCCCTTTCATGCCCAGCTATGTGACCTTTGGAAAATAAACTGCAAAGAGGAATAAATCAGAGACTAAAGATGTTGGAACAGCCACCAAAGAAAATTACAGTAGCAGCCAAGGGACACTGCAGTTTTCACTCATTGCAGCCAAAGTGAGACGGAATTAGAAAAGACCTATTATTTAAACCGTTTAATCTAATCTAGCTCATTTTTATTGAAATGGCTTCAGCACAAACCACATGAGCATCTGAGCTAGTAGATCTGTGGGATGGTAAACATCACCAGGGCAGAAGTGACAAGCAGCTGTAGTTGGAAGAGGGCTTTTATCTGTGCACAAATGGTCAGCTCACTAGAATCAAGTCTGCATACAACAGAGCTGTATTCTTACTGACCCCAGGTGGTATGGCAATAAACATGCTAAATACTCATATATACCCATATGTAATACTTTATGCATGCACATTAAGTCTATTGTTGACGAAAGGATGGAAAACGCAAGAGTTTTAAAAGTAGGAATGGGGCAAGCTGTCCTCAGGATACCAGTTTTGTATGTGGCAGATCTCATCACAATTTATAACCTCCGTCTTTATGGACCATGACATCAGTTTCCAATTACCTGTGGAGCTGTAGGTTCCAGGTCCTTAATCAGGTTATAAGCCTCCTGCACATCATCTGAAATACCAGACGTTAGAATGCATGACAACCCACAGCAAACCGTATTAGAACAAGTCACTCATCCTCTACAACATTCCCCAATAGTCACTGACTAAGAAATAAAGCATTTAGACAGGAGGAGAAAGGTAACTATAAATCATTGTGAATTTATATCACAATGGTGATGTTTTTCTAGAACTCAAATAACAAATACAGAGTGAGTAATAGCTTCTTTATTACTACAATTTTCCTAGTAGAGATGACTTGACCTCCTGTTCATAATCCAGTGGCTGCCTTCTCAACAAACAGTCGAAGGTCAAGATAATAAATGCATAATCTTCTTGTCTTTTCTCTTCTCATATTTATTTACTGCTCAAGGAGGATAGGGTAACATGATTCTGAAGGGAAACTTCATCTTTTCCTTATCAATATTTCAAAATCTGTCCAGCAGCTCTTACCTGATCCTAATTCTAACAAGCAAAAAGCACTACTAGTATAGAAGTTTAAATGTAAAGTTTGAATTCAATAAACAACTTCCTTCCCACCCAAGAAATAAGTAAACTGAAAAGATCCTAAACTTCACCTAAATCAAAAAAAGATGCTGGCACTATGGTCAACTTTGTAAACCAACCTAGTGAGATGTCCTTTTTACTGGCAAAATTTTGTTAGTACAGCATTATACCAGCTGCCCATAAGAACAAGCCTTAACAAACAAAATGTTTTTTTTGCTAGTACATACCATCCATACACTGTGGGGACAGTACTCCAGGGTGACTTAAGGCAACATACACTGGAGCTGCCAGGCTCCCAACCAATCCTTCTGTTTTCCTACCCATTCCCTTGAGCAGTCATGTAGTAAGCCAGCACAGGGTACTAGACTAGCCAAAAGTTATCACTTTTTTTTTTCCTTAAATAGAAATAGGGTTTTTTTGTCATTTTTTGCTAGCTCAGCTCACCACCACCACCGAAAAAATGACAGCACCCTTTATTTTCATCAGTGTAGACCATCAACACAGAACTATGCTCTTCAGGCTCCAACAGAAGCCTCCAGCACATCTCACTGGAGCAGATTACAACTGCATACTTGGCCCCAAACCCTGCTAAAAGTCACTACCTTAAAGAGTTAAAAAAAATGGGATGCATGTTTGCGCTTCAGTCACTCCAGTTCAGAGCATGTCTTAACACAAGCCTGCCTTTATCGGAGACCTTGTAAGTTTTGGAGAGACAGCTCTAGTCATTAGAAGTAATGGTTTCTCACATTCTTTACTGATGCTGCTACACTAGCAAGACTTCAAAATGGAAGCCTAACCAGGAAAGAGGTTTTAATCCTAATTCTTCTTGGCCTTCTTTGTCACTATGCAAGTCATTTGTATACCACAGTGAAGAACAGAAACTAACTAATGAAAATTATTGCAAGGTTGACAGCAAATGAGTAAACAACACTGATTTTTAAGTGATGCAGAAGATGTACTTTGCTTCTGTGTAAGTAGAACTTAATTTGAAACATATTAGTATTATTAACAATATTACTGGGCAAAATAACTGGTAATAATACCAATATTACCCATAGTGATATTGGCAATAGTAATACTAGACAGAAAGTGGCTGGGAACAGCAGGCATACTGGTTGTATGGATAAGGGGATAGTAGTGGATACTGTATACTTTTACTTTAGCAAGGTCTTTGACATGGTCTTTTATATCTTTGTCATAGCCAGACTGGAGAGATAGGACTGGCTAAGTAAGATAAGGGGATGGAAAACTGGCTGGACTACCAAAGGACAGTGATCAGTTGTACAAAATCCAACTGGTGGCTCATTACTAATCAAATCCCCCAGGGACTGATACTGTTGAATGTCTTATATTAATGACCCAGATGATAGGATAGAGAGTACTCTCAGCAAGTTTGCAGATGATAAAAGACTGAGGAGAAAGTTCCCAGCTACTGAGCAGCAGCTCAACAGGCTGAAAAAAAATGGGCTCAAAGAAATCTCACAAAGTTCAATGAAGGCAAAATGCAAGTCCTGCATCTTGCTTGGTTTGAAACAATCCTAAGCAACAAGACAGACAGGGGGCTGACTGGCTAAAAGGCAACCTGGGAGACCTGACAGACAGTGCACCCTTGCAGCAAAGGAGGCCAACTGCACACTGGATCGTATTAGCAACAATGTAGCCATCAGGGCAAGGGAAGGGATTCTTCTCTATTTGGCAATTGTGAGATTGCACCTGGAGTACTGTGTTCAGTTTTGGGATCCCTCGATCAAGAGAGACATTGAAATAGTGGAGTGAGTGCACCCAAGGGCTCCCAAGGCAGGTAGGGAGCTGAGGAGAGATTGAGCAAACTGCATTTGCTTAGCTGTCAGAGGAGAAGGCTCAAGGGAGATCTTGCTGCTGTCTACAACTAACTAATGGGAGGGTACAGAGAAGATGGAGACAGATTCCACAGGTTGAGATGAAAGGCAGTGGACACAAGGTCGAACCGAGGAAGTTCTGACTAAATGCTTGTCTGGACAATGCTCTAAGCAACCTGATCTAATTGGACCTGCCTTGAATAAAGTGTTGTGCTAGAGAGCTCCAGTGGTCCCTTCTCACTAATAATGTGATTCTGTTATTTACCTAGAACTCTATAAATTTATACAATATAAGGAGGGTGATAATGTACTTTTAATAATACACAGTTGTGACCACTTGAATTTATTGAGAATGTATACCTAATTTACAACTATGATGAAATTTATATAACCTCATATGAAATTTAAGTAACCTTATTGTGATTCTCTAGTATCAAACAAAACAAAATAGGGATAGAATTGCCATATTTTGTGACGACTGATGTTTGCAGATGAGCAAAGTCAGATTAATGAGGTTTTATTGCACAGTATTAACGACAATAAGAATTTCTACAACTGCTAATAGTCATTGGTAGTGGGATATTCTAAAATTTGTCACAGCCTGAGCTGAACTGAAATGATGAGGCAGTGTTTCAATTGCACATGCAGACAAAAGAAGCAGTCCTGGACACAACTGAGCATCAAAGAGAACTTACTCCAACTACAAAGACTAAATCTCACCAACCTTGTTGATTACAAATAATAAAGATGTTACTCAGAATCAATATCTGAAACTCCAAGTCGATCACACTATAAAAAGCTTACAGAGCTTTTGCAGTGTACTATGTTTACATATGCTCAGATTCTCTGATGAACTTACTGGGATGCAAAGAATATAAAGCTGGTGTGACTTACTTCTGCCAGCAGAATATATCTCCTTTTTTTCCTGGTAATTTTTCAACATTTTGGAAAAAAATTGCAGGCATGGTCTTAATTTATTTAAGAAGTAAAAAAAGACATTTTTCTGCTTTCAGATGCCCTGGTCATCTAAACTTAGATTATAAGAAAGCAGTGGACGGAAAAGCAATCATCACATCACTTTATATTAGATGACTGCAGTTAACACCTACTCATCACTCAGCCAGTCAACCCACCGTTGAATAAAGGAACACAATGGGAGAATTGGAATGGCTCTGAAACTATACTCAGATAAAATTCAAAGAAGTCGGCCAGCTAAGGAGAGGAACAAGTAGAAAATCCTTTCCAACTGATTCTGGCCACCTACCTGCATTCTTTAAGAGTTGTAAAGTAGATTTGGAATGAAATGTCTTGTTCACAAACTGTAGCCTTGTTCACAGTCACACTGGCTCACATTCTGTTTGTGCTGTATTTACAGAAATAGTTGTCCTTGCCTTCATGGGACATACGCCTACCATTCTCACATATTCAGGCAGAGGAGAGGTCCTCTCACTATAAACATATCAACGTCACTGTCCCCAAAGCGATCTCCTGCAACCCAAGAACCTGGTTGAAGAACACTCTGCTGAAGTAGATTTATTTGACTGCACACAATTAAAGCCCTTCTCTGCAAGCCATGGGAACTCTTACATCACTATTTTCCAGAGGAACAGAATATGAAATAAATTACATTTTACTGCAAAGAAAAAGAAAAGCATTTAATGGAATAGTCAGTTGAATGAATGAATACCATCCCTGAAGCTATGAAAGAGCCAGAGGAAGGCGTATTTACCTTGCCGGAGATAGTAAATCACAAGATTCAGTCTTGCCTCAGGAATAACATCAACCAGAGGAGGCAGGACCTGCAAAGCCCCTTCTCCTCCTCGGAATACCACCTGCAGAGAAAAGCAGCATATTGATAACTGCCTATCAAAATCTTGTCTAAGACCTCTTAATTTGAAGAAATTAATCCTTAAATTCCTATATTAACAGTAGGAAAAGGTCAGTGGTACTGGCATTAGCATAATCCCTGCTTTAAAATAACTATAGAATTATGACGTGTGACAATCTTTATTCTGAAGAATATAAAGTATTTAATCCATCAGCAAAGATTAACTTATTTCAGCTTTCAGCAGCTCAAAGCAGTGATACATTATATATCAAAGATTTTAAAGAATAACGTGGTCCGAGACAAGAGTGAGGGGAACAGAATTACAATTTGCTTATGAAGTATTCATATGAAAAAGATTAGGCTAACAACTCTACATCTATTTAGAATGCCACAAGATCCTAAAATGATCAGGAGCAGTCAATTCTTTATACTTCAGTTTCACATGACAGTTCCTCCAACAAAATCTAACATACTTATTCAATAAAACACTGGCAAAAGACCAACATTCAAAATAAAGAATGTTAACTTACGAAAGTCCAGTTTGAAAGCAGTTTTAACTCTTGGGGAAAAAAGTGTTAGCTTTTTGTGACTGCTCTTGCAAAAAGACAAAGCAAGCAACTGCCCACCATTAAATAAGAGCAATCTAACTGTTATTGGTGGTTCAGCAAAGTAATAATACCACTGCTGGGAAAATTAACAGGTGATTAGTGAATCCTTTACTGCAGAACACAAAAGTATTTTGGCTTTTATCAGCACCTTTTTCTCTATGAACTCCTTGTTAAGTACTTTTTGGATGAAGACCATTTTCCCGAGTTATCTTAATTCCACTCACATTGTTGTCTTACTAAATAAGAATTCAGGGTCATGCATTCTGACTTGTTTCTACAGTGTCCTTATTGACTGGGCTCCACAAAATATCTTGCAAAAGTGTTCTTACAGGACAAAAATTATTTTAACATGCCTTCGGGGGTAAAAGCAACAGCATTATTATTTTCTTCACACAGTCTCAAACTGACAGGGAAAAATTCCACGAAAAAAAAAAATACACTTGATGGCACATCGATTATACAGGTAGGATTTCTGGAATGGGACTTATATGGCAGCAGAGATTCAATTTGGTCTGCAATTCCCAAAATATTCCATTTTATGAATCATCGAAAAAAGCTCTACAAATGAGTGAAGTTCATATTAAATCTGAGAAATACATTACTCACCAGATTGTGCTTAATGAGCTCCTTGCCAAACTCAAAAGATGATGAGGCACTGTCTGTCAAGTTCTTGAGCTCTGCCTGGAATGACATACATTCCAAAATTTTAACACAAAACCAAAAAAAGCACACAAACATAAATGGAGCTTCATATGAGCCCTGAAGCTGATAGAAAGACATCTCCAGCAGTGATGTGTCACTGGAAGATTTTTGCCTTCCCACCTTTATGCGATGATTTCAGCAATTGGATAATACATATAGACACAAGGTCAAAAGTGGACTGGGAAAACTGTAATAACACTGTGCACACATGTGGACAGATGGCTTAATACCAGGGAGATTGAAATGGGTGACACTCCTCAGAGAAGGATGCAATGACAAGATAAAGGCCATTATCAACATTACTGATTAAGACAGATAACAAGGAAAAGAAACCTGTATGGAATCTTGAACTAAAATAAAGGTGAACTGAAGGGCTGTCCAATAGATACCTCAGCAGCCTTGCCATTGTAAAGTCGGAAATGGTTACAAGCCTTAAGGTTGAGAGCAATGGTACTGTCAGGAACTTGCTGAAGATAAACAGCTAGCACTTCCTGCGATACATCATAGTAATCCAGTTTGTAATAGCATAGGGCCACATATACATTCAGAGCCAGGTATTCCCTGCAGGAAAGACGATTAAAGAGAACATTTACATCCCACTAGATAGTTATACTACAGAACATTAAAATCAGTGATAAAGCTCTCACATGTCTATATATCTTTTACAAGCACATGAAAACGGGGGTTTCTGAGAAACACTTATTAGGTATCTTTAGAGCTCTAGTTTGTTAGATAAGATCGCACAGATCCAGATTCACATTAGTTTTTTTCAATGGCAGCTACTGCAGCTTTAAAGAATTACCTACAAAACTGTTGGTTTGCAAATCTGGGAAATGGGGCAACTTCACACTAAGGAAATGCACATATTGTGAGCACTGTACTTGGCCTGGCAGAATAGGATTTTCTATGCAATACATGCAAAGACTTTTAATATGCACATAAAACTTTGAAAATATTTTAATGGATCTTATTATCTTATACCAAGTACAATTATTTCAAAAAATCCTTGCCATTACAAGCTATCAAGCCAGAAGAACTAGACACAGAAATAAGACAGACATTTGTGGTAACAGTAAGTAAAAGGATAATTGTTATGAAGGTTACTCATTTAGTTTTGAGTGATTGCTTCTACAGGACTTGGAAGTTAAAATCTTTTCCCCAACCATTACATGACATACTTATACATTATGATGGACTCTCAGCTTTCTCTGAAGTATTCAAGAGGAGATACTGCCAAAAGATAGCTATGTTTGCTGGGACAGCAGTTTCTATTTTATTAAACAATACTTCCAGCCACTTAACAATTCAATTTATTCCTTGTTCAATTCTCAACTAAGAACTTGCAGATAAAAAAATTTAAAAAAAAAAAAAAAAAAAAAAAAGAAATCAACAAGTGTCATAACATGATAAATAGAAATGGAAAGAATTTCAGACTTAAAGGAATACAAGGAACTCTCTACATAAAAACTAAGAACTGACCCCTTCTTAGAAAGGCTAAGAGGTGAAGAAGTCAATAATCACAAACAAAGGCCACCAGACTGGCCATCGGGGGCGGGAAGAAAAAGACAAAGCAGGTACATAACCATATATAATTTCAGAATAAATGAGCAAAATAAAAAAGGATCTCAGAATAAATTACAAGAAAATATCTCTAAAAGAAAGAACAGACAGCAGACTTCTTTTTAAACATGCATTTTTCAATAATGATTTGCAATGAACAAAATTGATGGAGGCTACAACTTGTGCACATTTTGCAGTGGGAAAGGGACATAGTAATTGGGGAAAATATGTACTTTCAGAAACCAAGCAACTAAACGGAATTCAAATACCAACAGTATCAGAGACACTGCAATAAGATTTAGAGTATAGATGCCCACCGATTATCAAGAAGAATACGTTTGTAGATATCAATAGCCTCTTGGTAGTGGGACCGCATGTAGTGGATAGACGCCAAGCTAAGCTGATCTTCTGTAATGTCTTGCAGATTCTGGTGGGAGCTCATCAGTTTCTTCTCATCACTGAACTAAAAAGAGTGTGACACATTCTCAGAAGAGTTCAGTGAGAAAAATGTTTTAATTAGCTGGATTAGTTTTGTCCTTGCTGGCAAACAGCAGGTGATCCACATTAAACATCTGGAAAAGCTCTGTTACTTTAAAGTTAATTTGACCAGTGGAGAAAGCCAAACATTAAAGAGGGACCAGTTGAAACTAGATAAATGTGAGGCTAAAACCAAGTACACATTTTCCTTTAAGGTGTGATTTAGACATAATTACACGTCATATGCCTTGATGGATAAGAGGGGAAGAGCTGAATTAATTATTTCACAAACAGAATTTTGCAACACAAGATTTGACTGTTATTATTCAAGCCAGCAGAAATTTTGCTGTTTGTAGATCCAAATCTTATTTCTCATGGATAGCAGGAAAATGCAAGACTTGCCAACACACAAACACTAATTTTCACAAGACTTCTTTACCATACTAACAAATTATCTGTCATCAGTCCCCTAAAATTCCAGTTTCTTTAAGTAAATGGTTTATTTTTAAAAGCATTGCTGTATAGCACATAACACACACACAAGGATAAAAACAAGGAACAGAGTTAAACATACCTGTTACATTTGTATTACAACAATAAAGTTGAGGCTATTCACCTAATCAGTCTACTCAAATCACCTATTCCAGTGCTTCCTTTTGTTGGTTCTGCTCATTCAACAGTAACTATTAATTTCTCTTACACACAAACTCTATCTTACATATCGCATTTGTTTTTAATCTATCTGCTCAGTTTTCTTCAAATCCTTTTCCTCCTTCTTTGAGCCAGTCCCAAAATGATACTCCAGTACAAAGGCAAGAGAAGTTGCTTAACAGAACTAAAGGCAATGGGCTTCATAGTTTCGCAAAACCCTTTATTACCAAACACTAACTACATGAACTAGGAATTATACAACTTCTCTTTATCACAGACATCTGTAAGTGCCAGTGCCACTACAAAAATGTTTTAAGATTTCTTTCTTAAACTTAACAGAGATTTGAGTAAAGAGAATCTGACATCAAAGCTAACATTCAGGATTCATACTTTTTTCCACCCCAAACTCAGTCTCTTCAGTAGCACAATACTTGTTAAGTATAACACAGGATAGTATAAACCCAAATTTAAAGGAAGATAGCTATGTGTGGTAAGTGAAATAAGCATTTAATTGTTGTTGAAATTAAAGTAAATTTCATGCTATAAACAACATTACTTCTTGGATACTGAATGACTTAGGAGGATCAGTAATAGCATATAGACCATTTTGCTCAAATTGCTAAGCATAAGACAGCTGCAAGTTAGGAAAACTTGGTACACTTGAAAGAAAAAGAAAAAAAGAGTGACTTATACATTTCTGATTCTGTTTGAGTCCCAGGTTCCTCATGATCAAAAATACCATCGGGTTCCTGTTGTATGATATGACTTACATGAAGTGAGTTGGTAAGACTTTCCTTAGATACATGCTGAGGACATCTATTCTGAGATCATATGTGAACTTACTTTCTCCTCCACATTTTAATACAGTAGGTTGGTGGTGGAAAACGTTTGATCTCCTGCTAACACAGACATTTTAATTATTCTGCTAGGTTGCTAGCATAAATTACACATTACCCAACTGAAAAGAAAACAAACAAAGCATGAGTGAAGAAAAGACATCATACCTTATGTGCCAGGTGAAAGAGTAAACGGTTCTGGAGACGACTCTTAGGTGCTGTAAGGAAAATTCGGTAAGTATTGCTGCAAAGAACAACTGAGGGTGACTCTATTTTATTTTTAATTCCCTTTCTCAATAGACATACATGCACCCATATTCTTTCATTAACTACCCAAAGTACAGTTCTTTGCAGGTTCTGGGAACCAACCCCAGGGCAGGTTCTACCAATTTCAGAGTGGTTGAAAGGCTTTCCTGCTTCCTGTCTTCATTCCTTGCCCATTTCTTTTGAAAACCCTGTTGAAAATAATTTTTCATTGGCCTCTGCCTTCCATGAGCTTTAAAACTTTTATGAATTGCACTATCATTTGCCTGCAGGGCCTTCTGGATAGTTCTCTGGTTTTGCACAAGTGACACACAGCACAGCATCTTTTACAAAATAAAAAGCAGCAACAAACAAACTCAGAATCAAGGCTCCTTCTACAATGTCATATTTGAAGTAAGTTGTGATTCATAATCTTAAGAAGCTTGTCAACTTCCAGTGTATTGCAAAAACCATTGCTGCTACCACTTTGTTATGTATGCACATAACATTATACTTAGTTCTAATATTTCTTCTGTCCTTAGGAACAAAAGGCACATGAAAGAATCCTGCAGTCAGAACAGATAAGATTCAAACTAAGATATGGCAAAAGATTTAAGGGAGACATCTCCTTTCTAGAGCCACTAAGGTTCATGAAATTTCTTGCTCTAGCAGGATTAGGAATTCCATTTAACTCACTCCATATGACACAAACTGTTAACTGTAGAGCTTTAAGTCACTAGAGAGAGCCTTGTGCTTCACTGAAAGTGACAAAGGTCCTCATCCAACAGAGCTATTAATTTCTTTTGCAAGCAATCTTACAAAAAGCCTTCCCTTGTTTCCTGTATTTTCTTTAGCCTACTCAGTTAATGAGCACTCTCATTCTTGCTCAGACCAACCAGCTGGCAACCTATGTTCCACAGAAAGGATGTACATGGAATCTTTACAAAAAGCAGAATTACTGTGTTTATGAGGCCACAAAAGTGCAGAGTTAGCAAAGCAATGGCCTGTAACACAAGGCTATAATTCTTCTGACATCCTAAACCATGAAAGAGGGCTCAAACCACCAAAACCTCTTCCCTCCCCCCCCAATGGAATTTTGTAGTAATAAGTTAGTTTTTTGGGTATTTTGTTATTTAAAAAAAAAAAAAAAAAAAAAAAAAGCAATGCAGGGAGAAATTTCCAGACTTCTTACTCTTTCTCCACATAGTAAGAAAATTTTGTAACAGTGAACAATGCCAAAACCCAGGCCATTCTCATCAGGTTGGCAGTGTAAGGCTGTCCACCTACTTCTCATAGGCACAGCAATTATTTCTCCCCGTTTCTCCTTCCCAAGCTGTGTTATTTAACCATGTTCCTAAGAGGACAGTGAATTGTATCTTTAAAGAACTGCTAGAACAGAAATCCCAAAAGGCAAAGGCAGTATGAGAGAGTTCTCACAAAACCACATCTTGCAAGGCATTACTAACAGAGCATCAAGCTGTTCAGAAGCTAACTCATCTTCAATCTAGGATATATGTGGGAGTTCTCATTAGCCTAGTTATTAAAGAGTGGAAAGTTTTTCTGACATACAATCAATATTGTATAATCAGCAGTAGTAGTATAACTGATACAACAGTACATTCTAGAAATCATTTCATCTAGTGAGTTAGAAAGTTAGAGTGCCTTAATTTAAATGTATGTTCTTCAAAATGTTGTCAGCGATGATACTGTGGTAACTCTGCATGTGACCCAGCATTAATTGATAGGTTTTAATATCAAAGTTTAGAAGGGTTGCACATGGACCCCACATGTGCTTTTGTGCGAAACTTCAACCAACCACAACCACCGTTCAGAATGCAAAACATTTGGTTATCAAAGACTCCAAAAATACAAGCAAGACAGATTGCGGGATTTACACCGAAAATAGCATATTGTATAAACACAGTACTATGAGTAAAGACACCAATGTTCCTTTTTTGAGTAGGTTTTGTGGGTTTTTTTTTTGTTTTTTGTGGGGGGGGGGGGGAGCGGGTTTTAGCATTAATTTCACTGTGAAAATTGTGACTTGCAAGCAATACTCCCTCAAGAACCTAAAGCGAGGAATTCTTGTTTCACTAGTCAACCAATGACTGCAGTGCTGCCCTCGCAAACCTGGCATCTGATCTGACACCAAAATTATTATTTACTTCTTGGCAAAAGCTGGAGGGTTAGTCCACATTATTTTACACCTAAAAACAGGCAAAAGATGAAACCTGAGTTCTGATGGTGTGCACGGATATATGGAAGGAGAAAATATGTCCTGCTTCATGACATATTACATGATACTATCCATTTGATATTCTTTAAAATAAGACACTTTTACTTAATGTCAGCCAGAGGAGGAGAGGGGCAACCCTCAGCAAGTTTACAGACGATACCAAGCTGAGTGGTGCACTTGACACGCCAGAAGAACAAGATGCCATCCAAAGGGACCTCGACAAGCTGAAGAGGTGGGCCTGTGTGAACCTCCTGCACCTGGGACGGGGCAACCCCCAATATCAATACAGGCTGGGGGATGAAGGGATTGAGAGCAGCCCGGCGGAGAAGAACTTGGGGGTACTGGGGTGGATGAAAAGCTGGACACGAGCCAACAATGTGTGCTTGCAGCCCAGAAAGCCAATCATATCCTGGGCTGCATCGAAAGAAACGTAACCAGCAGGTTGAGGGAGGTGATTCTGCCCCTCTGCTCTACTCTGCTCTGGTGAGACCTCACCTGGAGTACTGCGTCCGGCTCTGGAGCCCTCAGCACAAGAAGGATACGGACCTGTTGGAGCGGGTCCAGAGGAAGGCCACAAAAATGATCCAAGGGCTGGAGCACCTCTCCTACGAGGACAGGCTGAGAGAGTTGGGATTGTTCAGCCTGGAGAAGAGAAGGCTGCAGGGAGACCTCATTGCGGCCTTTCAGTACTTAAAGGGGGCCTATAGGAAGGATGGGGACAATCTTTTTAGCAAGGCCTGTTGTGACAGGACAAGGAATAATGGATTTAAACTAAAGAAGAATGTATTTAGAATGGATATAAGGAAGAAATTTTTTACAATGAGGGTGGTCAAGCACTGGAACAGGTTGCCCAGAGAGGTAGTGGAGGCCCCATCCCTAGAAACCTTCAAGGTCAGGTTGGACGGGGCTCTGAGCAACCTACTCTAGTTAAAGCTGTCCCTGCTCACTGCAGGGGGGTTGGGCTAGATGATCTCTAATGGTCCCTTCCAACCCAAAGGGTTCAATGATTCTATGAACCGTCCCCAAAATAGTCCTGTTGATACAGTAAGCAGAACCATGAAACATCCAATATCAGCAGTTTCTTTTCTCCCAGTGCCAAATGCATTTTTTGAGGAAGACAAGGAAACATATGAACAAGGTCAGATTAGTTTCCAGAAAGAATATGGTTGTGAATAGAATATTGGATAAAGCTATTGTCAATCACTAGAAGTGATACAACTGCCTTATCAGAGATAATGATTTTTAAGGGACATTAGGCTTTTTCTTTTATTACGCTCTGCTGCTACTGAATTTCGTTGTCACTGATCTCTTAATGCCACAAGGAAGCACAATCTTCTTTTCCTGTCCTACTTTTTCAAGACAACGACTGTATGTGTGTGTGTGTTTTTTTTTTTTTTTTGTAAATCAGTACTAAGCAATCTAGGGATCATAACAAACATGATGACAATGCTGTATGGCAACAAACTGGACCCTGCTCTGGGTCTAGTATTGGCCTTGTGCTGAAGATACCACTGAGGTAGCTGGATAGGATATATCCCTTTCCAGCTAGGAAACACACCAATATTCCTACGCTAGAATTTTTGTCATGATCAGTGCTGATGTCCCAGGCACTAAATTCACAGTTGACATTGATCTTAAAAGCATTCTGTGTATTTTTATGTGCTGACACTGAAGAAGCACGTAGTGAAGTATTTGTTAAAATATAATAAACAGCTACAATAAGAGTGAAGACAGTTATCTTCACTATATTAAACAAAAAGTTAAGCTCACTAGAAATAGCAGCTCAGACTCTTGGTGGGTTCCATATTGCTGCCACAGGCAGTAAAAAGATGATGAAATACAGTCATGGACAATCTGGCATTTGTGCCCTCTCGTAAGAGTGCAAGGCAATGTTGGTCATGCACCCAGCATTAACAAGTCCCATCTAGCAGACATAACGTATAGGGTATAGCAGCACTTCACACATTAACAGTGTAGAACACATCTTAAACATACATAGCAGGAGCTGGTAGGAATGGAGCAGCGCTGAGAAGGTTCCAGCCTGACAGCACGGAAAATATGAGCAGAGGAAACCTTATTCTCCTGCCCCTGAGAAACAATGCCCTGCTTACCTGAACATAGTAGCTGAACAAAGCCCTCTGTGCCTCAGAACCACAGTCTCACGGGTGGAGGGAAAATGCAAGGGTATGGGAAAAATGTTCGGAAAAAACATGGTCCAACAGTGAGGTTCACGCTTACACACACTTGAATAGCTCAACTGTTCAGAATTTTCTTGAATGAAATTTACAGAGGACGTTCATTGAAATTTTCCCATTCCCAAAATACTTAAAAGCCAGTTCAGCTATGTTCAGTTACTTGCAATATATACACATTTCATTTCAGTCATGCCTAAGCACAGTAAATTAAAGATCACCAAAGCAAAAAACTATCAATTATTCCTGTTCTGTAGCTTCCACTATACTTTAAAAAGCAAACCAAGAAAATACAGTTAGTAGTTTTTAAAGTTTAAATACATATACATTTTCACTTGTGCACTTTGAAAGTTCCATATATCAAACTCTGCTTGTTCAAAACGGCAGCTAAAATGCAATGAGAACAAGCTACTGTTCTCAAGAAATACAATACGAGCAGAAAGCAGATAATTTTCTATGTAGGTGAACATGCAGTCTAAAGAAACATGTCATTGTTCTTACTAACCCATCTCTGTTCTGCTTTTGTACAATATTGCTAGATGATCTCTAAAGGTCCCTTCCAACCCAAAGCATTCTATGATTCTGTGATTCCATGATTCTAGTGTTGGCTGTGAAATGAGAAGTATTACTTCTGGTTCAGTTAAACCACATTCAGATCTGACACATGCAGAGCTGTGAAGAAGTAAAGTAATTATAAAGCTTTGCTCATCAAAAATTAGAAGAGAGAAGGAAAAAACCCCAAACTTTAATGACTGGTTCAGCAACACAACCCCATCTGTGCATGAATCTTAAATTTAATTGTAAAATTCCATTTATCCTAAAAAGACTGTTTTTCATAACAGATTTAACTGCATCCCCACTTATGTGCACATTTTGTGGTTTAAAAGAACACTGTTAATTCTTGTGTTTTTCTTAACGCAGTGCTAGCCAACGGCTTCCGAGCGCACTATGCAGGCTTCTAAACACTAGGATCCGTTGCCAGGATCACCGTGCAAGTGCGCTAGGCTGAGTTTCTGGTCCTCATCCTTTGCAAGGCATGGGAACTGGGAATGCAACATAAGATTATTTGGTTTTATAATTAAAAAATAGTAATTTATCATTATTATTTATTAAACCAAGACTTTCAGCCTCATTCTCCCAAGACTAGATGGGCTAGCACACAGCACAGAAAACATGTTCAGCCAACGTATGAGAGCACAGATGCAAAAGGAGTAAACAAAGCATCACTTGGCAGCTTCACTATGGGATGACTATGAAACAACAGTAGCTGACTTGAAGTAACTCTACCTTCACCTCACATCCAGGAACATTAGTAACTGTAATGTAAGAGGACAGCAGGGAAAAAGGCGCCAGAAATATCTGAAAGGAATTTGGAAGAAAGCCTAGAGGCGATAAAGTACAACTGTAATGAAAAACCTTCAAAGAAGGATTTTTCTTTATTGCCTTTTTGCTCTACTTCTGAGGTTATATTTGCAGTAGTTCTGGTTTATATGACTTTTGATATACAGATTTATTCTTTCCTGAGAGAATGGACCATGAAGTTTTAATTAAGTAATGACAAGCTAAGAGAACACTTCACATCTATTATAAAATAAACATAAAACCTTGCTCCACAAGAGACTGTGAACTATATATCTTGTATGAAATGCAGTAATTACCTCATGGCTTTTAACGCTAGTTTCCTAATTTTTAAGTATCCTGCATATTTTTCCTCAGACAGTTAACAATATTTTTCTTAAGCAACAGTACCTGGCAAGAAGGAACTTCTATTGATTTCTAGATGTTTACATGTTTGCGTGGAAAACCTATTCCAGAAAGCTAGCTGACTTTTATGTTCCCTTTTGCACAGAGATTCCATCACTATAGAAGTTTAGAATTATAACTGAAAATAAATGATTTCTCCCTTATTTGTTTTAGCATTATACTACTTTCAGGGGCTTAGCATTAACTGCAGCAGTAAACAGCAAGCAGTATGCAAGAAGTTAGGCAAAATAATCCCAAAATAGCAATGGTAAGCAGCCCAACACTAACACTACCTAGCATTTTTTCAGCAGTATTCAAGGCAGTACTGGGTAAATGGTGTTCTTCTAGAGACTTCTCCTGTTGTGTGTATATCAAATGAAATATTTTGCTTCTCCAGGATCTTTGCAAAACCATGTAAGAGATCTCAAGATGTTATGGATCAGCTGTCAGTAATATATTGCAAACAGTCATCACTGATGCAGTCCTAAGATGTTAAAAAAACCTAAAAGAGGATCTGTCGAGCAAAAATAAAATGGTTCAACCTCAGTGTAAGAAAAACTGAAGTGATGGGAGTGGAAAGGGGAATATACAACACTTGGAAGCCTTCAGTGGAGATAGGACAAGCGTCACAGATCTTCAGCTGTGACTGCCTCCCCACCAAGCTTAAGTAGCTCAAAATCGTCAGTATTACAGTACTCACAAGAAAGGTTTAGCGCCTCACTATAAAAATTGGCATGCTGTCCTTCCTAAACAATTACATGAAATCAGGAACTGATAGTGTGAGCACTCAGTTATTCTCTGTTCCCTCCCTCAGCTACACTCCCTACGTCTTGCACTCCTTTCTTAATATTCCTGCCCTTTCCTCCAGCACTAACCCCTACCCTGCCACTCACCATGCTACTACGAACTAATCTGAAGGGGCACGAAAAAATTAACCTTCCCTCATTTCCAGCTCACAGTTAATAAAGGTGCATGCCCAGCTGTGTATCTGTCATCTCTAGAATGGATTACTGTAATTCACATGATGTGAAGCTGATGACAATGACTCCAACTGGTACAGGGTGCAGCTGCTTGCTTCCTCCATGGTTTAGGTCAAAGTGACACCTCAGGCTCTATTGCCAAATTATTTTTAGATTCCAGTTCAAGTCCTAGATTGTAATCTCCAAAGCTCAAATTTGTGGTACATTAAAGATTAAATTATTACCTGTCAATATGAGAAATTTACACACCTCAAGCAATACAGATCACAAAGCTCTGCATGGAACTTTTTACAGTTGGAAACGAAACATTTCCAGTTGTGGGATTTGAGCTCAGCATGATCTTTCAGAGGATTTTAAAGGGATACAAGAATCTAATTATTTCTAAAAAATACTACAAAACTGTCAGTTTTGAAGGCACTCCTCCACAGTAGCAGAACTTACACAATTGTTTTCTCCCTACCCTATTTTCAGCCCAAGACTAGAAGACTAAAGAAAGAAAGGAGAAACCCCATACTTCAATGAGAGTTTTAGCCTAAAAAGGCAAGAGTCAGCAGTTGACTGAGAACATCAGTACTATTAATTCTACTTAGAAAGCACTGAGATACTATGGTTATGGGAAACAATATAAATCACTGAGATAAATAGAAAGTGATGGGTAGCAAAAACATTTTTAGGCAGTAAAAATTGCCTTGGAATCTAATTTCCATTCCTCTTCTTTAAATGATCCCATGCATGTTCAGATTAAAGTAGAACTGTAATAATGTGACTGCAGTGAACTCCACGCCTTAAAGAATCAAATACCTAATATCTGACTTATAAGGCAATAAGACCACCTACTAAGTCACTCAAACCATGTAAACAGAGTTCTTTTCCACATCACGGAGAATGCTGAACTCTCTCAGATGCTTATTTTTTGATAATTTCACTAGCCTAATTAGCTTCATCTGCACTGGTTCAGATACATGGAATCAGTCAAAATAAAAGTAACTTTTTGTTGCTGGTCAGCATATGCTGGGTTTTGTATTTAGAAATTAATAAGAGAAATTATTTTCCAGATGCTTCTTTCAGTTCCAGCTACTCCATCTGCCCAAGGTATTTTTAGGAAGCAAACTGCATCATAACTCTCCCGTTAAATGAAAAAAAAAACCCAACCCCTAGCAAAAAAACCCAAACCAAAAAACTTTGCTCAAAACTATCCTTTATTCCTATGAAAAGAAAGCATTGAATACTTTCTCTGGAAATCACTTTAAGTGTTCTAGTCAACAAGTAGTCCTTCCCATCAGAGACATACATCTCACCTTTCAAGGCTGCTTGTTCAGCTTGCGTATACATCCCCAGAAAGAAGTATGTACAGGCAAGGTTCACCCAAACATCTGGATTGCAAGCTGGTTGTTTGGTTAAGGCCTCATATTCCTGTAACAGAAGAGAAGGGTGATTCTTTAAAAATGCGTAATAGCACAGACTTGTATTAAATATCATTCTTTCTTCCACCATTTTACAATGTATCATTACATTACTGAAATCAAATGACTTATTCCCATGTTCATTGCAGTTCTTACAATGAAACTATTGCATTTTAATCTAAGATATGTTGTCCCTAGCTCTTTTTTGTTTACAGCAATAGAACAGACATCAGGGACAAGCAGCACTACAAATCTTCACTGTAGGAGCATGAATTCTGTCAACACTGAAGTGATAAATATATAAAATGTATTTATATTACTATAAATATATTATTATTTATATTTATAAAAGACAAATATAT